ATTACAACGAAGTTCAAGAGATGTTCTGCAAAGTGACTCAAAGCGGAACGGAACCGCCCGCTGTGAGCAAGCCGGGTAGGAGAATACTGTACGCTTTCGGAACCAATCAGATCGCAGGATTTATATAATACCGCTCGCTCACGAGCTGAGAAAAAATAGTCAGCGATACTTCACAACAGAACTTTTAATAAGAGATTTATTACCCAACACGCTAAATTACTATTTCAGTGCGGGCGAATTTCGCGAAAAGGGAGACGCCTAGAAGAGAATAAAAATACCTAATACCTAATAATGAAAAATATTTAAGTGAAAAGCTAATTTTTACGAATTCTGTATGTTACCTCTTATTCTCCGTTTTAAAATTGTGCGCAGATAAGTACAGTGAGATTTATTTTTCTAAAACAGTCGAATTTTGTTGCAAGTTATGTCAGTCCCCTATGACTTATCATAATAAGTCTGAGAAAAGTTGATCTTTCTCAATTGAAGTTTTTATCAAAATGGCTGTACGTCATTACCCGTTATCTGCAGTGTTTTGAATGTAATAAAAAAGCCCATGAAATGTCCTGTTTGGACGCATTTGCGAATGTCTTTTTATCACGTTTAGGCCTGTCTTGTAATCGGTGGTCAACTTGGGTCGCAGTTGAAGGTGCAGTTGCTGTTGTAGTTGTTTATGTAGTTGTTTATGTTATTATGTCATTACGGCAGTCATGTCGATTCAACTTGGCTGATGTGCCAGCAACGTTTCAGTGATGTCTTGAACGGAGAGCCTGCAATGAACGTGAGAGAAACTTCCTTCGATAGCTAAAAGGCTGTATGATCCTATATCAGAGTGGAAGAAACTCCATTAAATACATTATAACACAACTACAGCGCCCTCTCGTGAAAGTCCTTTTAATTCCTTATGATGATGTGTGGCGGCTTGATCGGCGTGTACTCATTACTGGCATTGGTGATCCATTAAAAACACGACTCACTACGTTACTAGAATGAGAAATGTCTGTCGTTGCCAAAATAGAACTTGTCGCAGCACAAAACATTGGGTCGCCAATTGTACACCTTTAAAATTTATTATTATACTTATTGCCACTTTATCACTATCAGCGCCTCTGAGCTACTGCAGAATAAACTTTCGAAAAACCATTTTTACCAGTGAGGAAGGCGTTTCAAGGAAATATAAGGCTCCCCTCGATTTTAATTAGGTCATTTTGTTTAATGCTCCTTTAACACTTTGAAACCAAATATGGGTCATGGATAGGATATTTCTTCATAAGCTACATGTATAACAAACCTTTGCTCTCTCATTGTAAACTCATTATAAACATCACTCTCAAATGTGGGAACCGTAACCAAAAGGATAGTACTGCAGTGACTGTAAGGTCCGTTTAGCATTTTTGCTTTTCTGCACAGGCTTCTATGTCCGCGGCATTTCTGCATTAAAAATTTTGCTGCTGTTCTAAGGTAAGAGAGAACTGAATAATAAACAATTAACCGTCAGTCCCTAACCCAACTCGAGGCTGAGTCGAGGGAAACGAGGGATTAATTGTTGAGGGATCTGCGTCATAGCACAACGAAGGTATTAGAAGACGCATTGTGAAAAAGATTGTAATATTTATGAATTACATGTGAGCGTGAAGGAGCGTTATATACTTCAGAGCTCAAAACGTCACGCCATCTTCACGCCACCGTTAATCATGGGAGGTTTGCTTGAAACAGTGACTTATTACCTTCTGGCGCCATAGAGAGGAAAAGATGAAGAGAAGCCGGCCTTGGGAGAATTCATGGAGACGATTCATTGGATAATCATTCATAATTCTAACCGAAATCATTACTGAGAACCACGCAAGCTTCATAAGAAGTTCCTTTCGCATAAATCACTTTTCAGGTAAGACGAAACAAACGAAACAACTTCACTCCTTCTTTTTTAGCCCAAGAAGCCTTGAGCATGTAAATATAAGCGACTGAACTGATAGGCTCTGAAACCCTTTTGTTTTGGCGGCAAACAAAACTCTGAAGTGTGATCAATCATGCTGCTAATTGTCCTTTTGGCAGTCATTCCATTCAAGTTAAGATTTAGAATTACTACTGTGCGGGTTTGTCAGTTTGGTTATCAACTGAGGTGGAAGAATCTTTAATCTAAAATCTAATCCCATTGGCAGGAGTAGACCAAGTCAATTTCTTTCAAATACCTTCTTTAAAAGAACCTGAAAATAAGACGATCTCTTTACGAGAGGCCGCCCTGCTCTTATTGATGTCGAGCAGCTTTCCTCCCGAGGTACATGGTTTGTATCTTTTACGTTCGTAACCCTCTAAATTCTCAAAGTGATTAACCTCCAACTTCATCCTATAATACCCATACATTTTTTAGCAAACAAGTCATGAGAGTATTCAAACTTATCAGGTAAAAGCCATTACCTGGATCTAACACTAAATTATCGTAACCAATTTACAAAGAAATGTGCAGCAGCTAGAGGGGAGAATTTACACTCAGATCTTGGGAGTTTAATAGTTAAGAATCATACAGTACAGAAGGTCAACAGTATTATTTCTTTTTCGTTCCGATGAAAGTTCTGCCTAAGGAATCAACTATCTTTCAATACCAAATACTAAATCAGCTATTTCGAAGTACCTAGTCGCGGTAAGTCGTCTGGATAAATTTCTTCGCTCAGCAGACACTGGAAAATCAGCTGTGAACTAATTTTCCTTCATCCAACATATGCTCTTCGATCTCAGGTAGATACATCATATCGACACCACTCGCGAGGTAGAATGCCACAGGAGCGTATACAACATCGAAATAGTCAAAGAGAGTATATCATAACAATGGTATCCTTAGTGAACCGAGTAAAAGGCTGCAGCAACTGACAGGCTGCTCGGGGCATGATCAACTCAAGCCCCGAGTGTATTGCTGTAGTATGTGTTCAAAGATAGTGGCAGCTTTCTTGGTAGACACAACCGAACAAATTCTTCATCACCCAGCCAATTTCAGCTTAATAAATATCCCTCCTGACCACTCTTCTAACGCCTCAGTATAGTGATAGGGTTGTAATACCGTGGGGGCTCGGTCCCAATTGCACTCGCAGTGTATGCGATACTTATGACTACGGCAGATCGATAAGCTGCATTGCTTAACGTTGTAAAGCTTCCTCGCCGTTATTCGTAATCCTCGTTTTTAATAACTTTTTCTCGATTCTGGTAGCCTCTTAAGTGTGAGGGCTTTTTTGTCTCACTACAATGCCAACTACATTCTGTTGTTGATTTATGTAATATTTTTGACCGCCTAAACTGTAATTTTTCAAGGGAAGCAGAGAGTGCTATGCCTTCTGATTAACACCCGTGTCATGCCCTGACTCAGGTTTAGGCTGATATAAAAAAAGGGAACAATTAAAATGTGCGCTGTCACAGCGTTCTGGGTATCCCCGTGTTTTGGGTACCCCGTTCCCAAATCCCTTGTGTTTTGGTATCCTCTTTGATATCTTGACGCTAATGCAGTGATTTCAAGTACAGGATAATTTGCATATTATACCACTGAATTAAATTGGTAGGACAGATACAATTCCCACAGAGTCTCCATGAATTGTCGTGAATATGTTTTAAGAAATAGAGGGCTATTTTTTAGTTGGTCCTTGTCACATACTACATGCTGTTCAACAATGTTATTTTTATCTTTCATTTCATTCATTTAATTGTACTCAGTTTCTTATGCTCACATTCACTGGCATGAAAAGCCGCACAGTCGAAGGCATATAGTGAAATCACTAAACAGAGATGTAATCTGAATCTTAATATTTTTTAATAGGAAACAGAGCTTCCACTCTAAAAGTCCGTCAATTTCAATATTTTGGGGAAAAATAAATGAATCAATTGCTTGTAATATGTTAATAAAGAATGAAATTGCTGAATGGATAATGGTCTACTTTAAGGCTTCTGCTCCTTTGTCCTTAAAGAGTTTTTACTTGCTAGATAGGTTTGCTCCATGTTCTTCTCGATCCTTCAGGCTAATTTTTGCGATGTGTCACAAAACTTTACTTTTAAACCCAAACAGTCATAATGCAAGTCGCAGGAATAGAATTGATGCTAGTCAACCCTGAGCTTGAAAAAATAGGGATACACAAATCCCTACTGATATGGACCCATGGTCGGGGTGTTCAAAGGTGGGTTAAGATAACCCAGGATTAGTGTGAAATTTGATTTCAGATCTGAAAGCTTCAAAAGAAAATTCAGTATAATTATTTTTGTCTACAATCTTGTGATTAGATGCTCTAAAAAAAGTAAGGATAATTTTCCCAAAAAGACTCTTGAATAGAGAATTAAGGAAACGTGGATTAAAATGTAAACCTGGGTTAGTGCTAATCGGCCTTCGAACAACTGGACCATGGGTAACTCCTCAAGCGTTACTGGAATAGCGTAACTTAATGTATACTGTATTTCTAATGATTTTAACACCTACTGCAAATTATTCTTTCGTTGTTATTAACATTTTAAAACGCAATTGTACATGAAATACATTGAAACAGAATAAAAGAGGTTATTTCTTGCCTACCTTACGTCTTATATTCACTAAGCTACGCTAATCCCTATTGATGTGGTGTTCCATCCCGGTTCTTTGGAAAATCTATTCGCTTGAAGTCCTCATACGTTGTAAAAAGACGAAAAAAAGCCTCCTTGTATCGTTTGAAACATCTTAACTTTTATTACGAGCGAATCACAACTAGCCCGATTCTGCAGACAGATCGCTCTCTTTCACTACTCTTCGAGACATTTTAAAGCTTTCCTCCCCTAAAGACCATCCTGAATCAGCAATCCCTGTGATTTCGGCGAGCAATTTTATAAGTCCACGACAATTCAACATAGGACGCCATGTTAATTGCACCTTGTCTGCTGTTCAGCTGACATTTAATGTGTCGGATATCCCTACAGGGGATACCAAAAACACTATTGATTTAGGTACGGGGATACCTAAAACACTATGACTGTGCTCTTTGCGCACATTATGTGTTGATATTAGGTTTATTTCGCAAATATTTGGAGAATTGTTTCGTCCTACGCATTATGTACATACTTGTCGGTGACATTCACAGAGCCGTCTTTTGCGCATTGAGATTCCTATCGGTAACATAAGATCATGGATTTGCCGATTCCAAAATGAATAATATCTTGGATAATGTGTCCAACAAAGCACATCATCTTTGGAAAACGGCCAAATATGACAGTTGAAGAAAGGTTGTCCTCTTTGTGCTGAGCGTCTTCTTTCCAAAATCCCAGCCCTGAAGGAAGCTTGGCTGTTGAGGTAATTAGGCTCTCTATAAAGGTCCTACTTTATGAACAAATCAGGTATTAGATATGTTGTCTCTAGGAAGGATGTCCTTTACTTTAAGTATATTTGGAAAACAAAAAGGGCAAAAACGTTATTTATGAAAGCTACTTTGAAGATTATTTCATTTTGATTTGTGAGAAAAAGTAGGTAAAAACTTTATGCCAAATGCAAAAATCCAGTGATCGTAAATTCGTTGCGAAGGGTAAGAGTTTTCTTGCTGTTTTTGGAGAGTCCTTCTCCTTGTTAGTTTCAAATTCTGGTCTGCATCTACACGTAGCGATTCTCTGTAAAAGGAATAAAAGATGTAGCAATGTTTCAGTCATAAATATCTTCACAGTCTACATATGTGACTAACGTATCCAGAAATGCATAATAAATGAAGGTTTCTTAATATTTCACAGCAAACGAGACATTAACAGGGAAAAAGGATCAGAAAAGGACTTAGAAATGACAAATTGTCATCCGGTGAGTGCGACTTTGTATGGGCAGAAATTTCCAAGATTTCTAACCATAGGAAGAGGACATTCTCCTCGAGAATGTTGTTTATTTAGGAGTCGTTTGTTGTGACTGTCCTTTTACGAACGTCTTTGAAATAACAGCCAAGTCCAATCTTCTACACACGCACAACTCTGGACTACAAATCATAGAGCTTGGTTCATATAGTTTGGATTGTTGAGGGTTGTCTCAAAATCCTGATCACTAGTGGTGTTATAATTACGAAGCCTACATGTATCGCAATTGTGGCAAGCATGTACATGGTCATAATATTTACATTTTGTAGGTGAACCAAAAACAGCAATTGACGAGACAATACTAAAACTGCATAACAGCAAAATAACACGGATTTTCTATCATTTATTTCCTCTCCATCGTGAGACTTTCATGCTAAAGATCACATTGATAGTCGCCTTCCCATAACATTATTTTCCCTCTCTTGTCATCCAGATTTGGGGAACATGGGTAAAGGTCAGAACACACGCTGCCCAACGCTTTTAACCCAGCTTTCATAGAAGGCTCAGTTTGCTGTTCGTTCTTTTCCCTGCTACAAGGGATTTTTTCACGAGTTCTCCGGTTTCCCCCTCCCCCCTAATCCCCTCCACAAAACCCAATATATATTTACCTAAAATGTCTTTTATAAATGTGATTTTTGTTTTTTTCTATAGCATTTGCTGTGTTACTTACCTATGGGGGTGTTAATCAGTTAAAACGCAGCACCGGTAAATGATAAGAGTCTAAACCTATCGAATTCTGTAGATGACCGAAAATTCAAGTTCAAGGCCAAATACCATCACATCCGCTGCGTTGTTTGAGGAATCGTTAAACCACGCCAAAAAAAAAAAAAAAAAAAAAAAAAATCCTTGAAATGCCGGCTCTGATAAACAACAAGAGGGTTACTCCAAGCGATTAAGACCATGCTATCAACTATCAACTCACTCGATCGCACACGCGACATTTCAGTTCCTTCACGTTTCACTGGAAGAAAAGAGATGTGCTTTATTTAGTTGGATTATAACCTTCATCTGCAGTCTCAAATAGAATTAAAACAGTTCTCTTTTTCAGAGATTGATATGAACTTCGGCTGAGGTCCGGTAGGAGGTACCGTCTCACGAGTCAAGGTGATGGATACAGCATGAGACATCGAGTTAAGAGTTAAAATGTTAAGAGTTAAAGTTATGTTATCGATCGATAGATACCCTCTTGTTATGGATATTCGTTTGCCCCGTTCATTTCTTTCTCTTGGCTAATAAACGTTCCTTGTGAGTACCCGCTCTGATTCTGAGGAGATGAATTCTGTAGATCAGAAGTTTTCATAACTGAACGAAACACTGTTTATGCTGCTTACCAGTATTTAAAATTTTCTGGTGGTTTTCTATCAACAATGAAGGATGTTCTGGATAACATCCAAATAGCCTTTTCCCTCGCTATTTTTGTTTTACACCAAATACTTCATTTTCCTCGTAGTATATCTTTTATTTTAATCATAAAGTGCAGAACTTAAATTAATTTGACAGCTCTGGCTGATTTTTTTGTATCTTCAACTCGCAGTTCTGTTTTATCAGCAGACCTTAAGTCTGACTTTTTCTGACCCCACATAACTTTCCTTAGTTTGATAAAAAATCTAGTACTGAATTAAATTTTGCCAAAGTCAATTAGCAGTACGGAGGGCGGCACAAGTCTGTCAGCTTGGGTATTCTAACACGCTGAGCGTGCGTGCCGAAGTATATAATGGCAAGGTAGACATACAAACAGAAAAAAGACACATGCATACACACTCATACAGACATCAAGAAATCGTAAAAATGTTTGCTTCTTAGTTTAAGTTCAATACCGTTGAATTTTCCTGCAATGTTATAGGTATATGTTCAAGTTTCATTTTTGTCTTAATGTCTTATAATAGCGTTGATGTCCACCACACACTGATACATGACTAGTATAGTGAGATGTATTTTTTCAAAAACATTCCGCTTTTGTCAGTAAGTTGAGGCTGTACCTCATGACTAATCACAACAATTCTGATAAAAATCAGTTTGTTTCAACGTTTATTATTAAAATGACTCTACGTCATTACCGTCATCTACCGTATTTTGAAAAAAATATTAGTATCAATCAAAATTGGCAGAAACATTGCCCTTAAAACTTCCGGTCGAGACGCATTTGAGAATGTCTTTATCATGCTTAGATTTCGCTCGTGATCTTGGGTTGCAGTTGATCGTGTAGTCTGATACAATGACTGACATTTTGGCAACCTTAGCGGAAATTATCATCAAAGTCAAGTAGGAATACTTTCGCTTCTGTTACAATAGTGTATTCGTGAAAGTAAAGTTGTTTTTGTTTTTGATTTTACTCAACTCTTGAAATGAATAACTTGATAAGCACTAACATTTGAAACATGCGAGCCTTTTCCTGCACGGGAATAACCGGAGAAATACGGAAACATTGAATCTATTTTGGTCACGCGGTGGGTGGAGGGAATAATTTAGAAATAAGTGTATTTGCGTATCCTTCGCCCTTGAAATTTGAACTTGATATCTTTCTTATTGATTGGTCCTAAGAGAGACACTTTATTCTGTTTCACTAACTCTCAATGTAGAGGTTTGAAGAGAACAAAATGTACTTCTTTCTCAAGAGACCAGTTCTTAAATTAATCGTTTTAATTGTACGTACAACGAAGACATTAAGGGACCCAGAATAGCAGCAAATCGCCTATTTATCGAGAAAACAATTTTACTCGTTAAGATCATGGGTTTCAGGTGTCTTCCGCTCAGGGATTTTGTCGGGAAACAGTCCCAGCTTTGGATGTCTTTTGACATTGGCATTGCATGCTCGGTTTCATCGCGATGGAAAGGTAAATACGCACACCAAAGTGCTATATATGGGAGCAGATGGAGGTCTCCTGTAGCCAAATATATTTAAAGTTTACCTAAGGACGGTTGGTATATATAACAGTGTTGATTGACATTTGAAGCACTGTGCATGTAAACAAACAGAATTCAAATGTCTATATAACACAATATTTTTTTCTTTGTGAATGAACAGATGTTAAAAATAGGAGGCATGCAGGCTTATTTTCTGTTATTTTTATAGGTTAACCATAGGCCTTACATGCTTTAAGTCATGTCCCTCAGCAACACGTAATTCTGTCATAATAACCATAGCCGCACTGGCTCCTCTAGACCTGAGAAGTGGGGCAGGAGAGAGGGGGGCTCACTGTAAGAATTGGAAATCTTTTCCGAAATCCATGCCCTTGTTACCCAGACCCATTTGACTGATACGACACATTTTTTTAAAACCCCAAGGACATTGGATAGCTTGGTGAATACGGTGTAAAGGATTTTTTTGGATATCACAGGCCGATCACCAATGGGTGCAACTGGCAAAGCATGTTCAAACGTAAAGGAAAGTTTGACAGTTGTGAATACTGATTGTTACTGATGACATGGCATGGAACTTTCAAGAACTAAAAAATAAAATAAACACTGTATCTTTGCCTAGTAAATCTTAATGAAGTGATAAGAAATGTTAGTGCACTTAAGAGTGGCAATTTTTGCCTCAATCCGCCACTTGAAACGTTCTTTTTACTGAATTGTTCCCAGCTGCTGGTTTATCTGTAGGAATCTGAGACGAGGCTTGTGTTGTAGATAGTGACTGTTAAATAATTAATTATTTCTAGAAACGTCTAGAATGCTTTGTAACGCCGGGCGACATGCATAATCGACGTTACTGATGACATGGCATGGAACTTTCAAGAACATTCTATTGGGTTATTCAATTATAATGGATTCTACAAGAACAGTTCTGTTGTAGGTTTCTGGAACTTTCTAGAATACGTTGCACATGTATACGAGAGAACTCGTTCATCTAGAATTAGTAGTTGCTGTTGTCGGCAAAGGCTGACTGTCTGCATAGCAGAGGGGCTTACTATGATATACTTAAAAGATTGTGCAATGCAAGGCGATTTGGATTCAAGAGGGGGGCTTTGGGATTTTCGGTTTAGCGGTTTTGACTGTTTTTTGGATCGGTTTTTCGGTTTTTGGGCCAAAAAGATTTCGGTTTTTCGGTTTTGATGTTCAGAGCGGTTTGCGGATTTTACGACTTTTTGCATGCGGTTTTCGGTTTTCACGAAAACTCTGATGCGGTTTTCGGTTTTTCCTTTTTGACCCCTTTAAAAGTTAAAATGTAGAGGTTTTGTCAGGTTTGCACGCGGTTTTCGGTTTTGCTGCCTTTTTTCGTCGGTTTTTCGGTTTTGGAAGTTTTTTTCTTCGGTTTTGCGGTTTCCCAGAGGCCCCAATGCCCCCTTCATTCAACAGTGACATTTGCAACTCCACGCCGGGAAGCAGAGATCGTGGCTCGTGTCAAATTACCCAGTCAACATTCGTAAACTCACAACGACCGAGATATCACTATTCACCTCATCTCTGGTACCGGAGACTTCACGACTTTCGACTAGAGCGAGGAGCGAATGCCTCGATCCTACCCGTAGTACTTAATTGAACCATTTGGTTTATCAACCGAGTTCATAATGTAAATTGGCGACTGTAAAGAGTTTCTACAGCTGTCGTTTTGTGTGTTTGCCTTTGTCAGAGCGGAGGGCTTTAATTTTTCCATTATACACCTCATTTACGAAGGAGGTAATTGCTAAGTTCTTTGCCTTATTTTCCATCTTTCTGCAAATAAGAAACCACCACTATCAGGGAAAAGTAAATAATGAGTGAAAAGCACTGTCTGCTAAAATTTTCTTGATTTTGTCAATTAGTTTAAGGCACAAATAAACAGAGCAAATCAGAGTTTGGGCTTGCAACGTCTATACTGACGAAGCTGTGATTTTCAAGAAGTGGTTTAATCTGCATCTATTACTTTGCTTTCTAGTTCCCTGTACGTTTCTAGAAGCAATATTTGGACCAAGTTTCTGCTAGATTGCCCATGATGAAGCCGTGATTTTGAAGATGTGGTTTGATCTGCATCTACTACTTAACATTTCCGATCCCCGTACGTTTCTATAAGCAATATTTTTTCCGTTATATTATCCATGACACCAAAATGGTAGAGAACCTTACTACGCCGGTTGTATAACTGACGTGATGCATCGTTTTCCGCAGGAAATTAATTCTTCTTACTACCTCAAAACAGAAAAGAGACTACTCTTCATTGAGAACCAATGGGTAATTCAAGGCAGAACCTGCTGGTTCAGTGTATTATACAGAGCGCTTACGTGCTTGATTATCTAAGCTTCTGAGGATAACTCCTTTGCTCTTACTGATAATACATCGTCTTCAACTCTCCCTTATTTAAATCGTAGCAAGGACTTCCACGAATATTACCATCGCCTTGTGAATTTAGAATCCACGATGGTTTTACTAGAACGACGAGTCAGTTTCTTTTGCTCATAAACAAGATTTGCGTCTACAACACTGATCAAACAAAGCAGAGTGGATTGCACCTGGGTAAAATCTATTTACGCCCATGTTAAGGAAAAACTACTGACAAAAAAACCTAATGGCTTCGGAGGATCAGAATAAATATATCCGCAAAGTAACAGGTAAATGGGCTATCGAGCAGTTTTCATTTGTTGTCTTCTAGCATAGCAATGTTCGATTCTCTTTGCCATCAGATCAACACCACTGAGTGACCGTGTGCACAAAAGCTTTTATGGCCATACAGTGGGAGCATGGAAGAACATAAATTTAGCCTCTTATTAACTTATATTTAGGTTCCTCTTAAATATCAAAGGTCTCGTTCCGTCAATTGCCATGACAAATCGGTTCAGTGCCTCGTAAAGGCGGCTAAATTAATTTGTTTCTAGTCAAAAGCGATGATAGTAATGGCAATATCAATGACATAAAGCAGCCCGAGATCTTTTGATAAAACAGTTCAAGCTGTTACAAATGGATACAAATTCTTGCAAGAAAGGATAATATTCTGAAAATCATGTCAGTGGTAAACAAGTGAGAAAAAGAAGCCCTCTCTCCAAAGGAACTAAAAGGCACTGAAACAAACTCTTCCTGAGGGTCTGAATCCCAGATTTATTCACAGCAAAGAGGAGTTGTTTTCAAGGTTCGTTAGGGGAGAGTAAACGAAACTTTAACAAATATCGGGTCTATTTAACACCACAGGTTAAGTTTTAAGTTGATCAATAGCCGTTTGCTCTGTACAACTGATAGTTTCCCTTGATTTCGTGTAGCATTCTATGTTTCTGTGTCATTGCGGTGGTCATGCTGATTCAACGGTACTATGTTTTGCCAGAAAGTTTAATGATGTCTTGAACGGAGCACCCAATGAAATTAATGTGAGAGACTTCCTTCGATAGCTACGTGGTTAAATCAGGTTAGGAGGAACGATGTGTCTCCCGTATATATGTTACCGAACAACTGCAGTATCCGCTTTGCAGATTCTCTTTAATTTCCCATAAAGAAATACGGCGGCTGTATCAGCGAGTACACTTTGACACTGATGATCCTGTGAAAACATGAGTTACTATGACGAGAAATCTTTGTTGCTGCCAATGCAAAAATTGTTGCATTACAAAACACCGGGTCTGCAGTGTTACATCTCTAAAATGAAATATCAATCTTAAATCTAAGAAACGCAATCTAACAATTTCCTGCACTCAAGGTTGCGTAATGTTCTTTGTTTGCTGCATACCTGCTTCCATTTTTCAGCAATGTAATGAATTTTGCTGACATAAATGGTTATCTTTAGGCCGAGCCTAAAACACTGGCCTGAACCAGTCCAGACCAACTACGATATAATTTGATTTTCCTGCTGGTCCTACGTAGGAGAGAGTGTAGTAATAAACACTTAACCATTAGTTCCTAGCCCTGCCCCGAGGAAAACGAAATGAACTGTTTCTCGAGGGATTAGTTGTTTGGGGATCTGCTACATAGCACAACAAAGATATTGATCGACGCACTTTGGAAAGAAATATTATATTTATTTACAAATCATACGAAAGCGTAAATGAGTGTAAGATAACGCAAAGCTTAAAATGTCACATCACCTTCACGCCACCGTCAATCATGCTCTTTTCACGTGCAACGAAGATCATTGGTCAACATTCGCGAGGAAAAGTCGTCTTGCTAACCTCTGACGTCATAGGGAGGGAAACATGAAAACAAGCAGACCATGGGGGAATTCATGGGAACAGATAATCATTCACAATTCTAACTGGAATCATTGTTGAAAACTCTGCACGCTCATAACGCTTTCAGGCAGAGCTAAAGATTAAATATTACTTATGGCTGCTTAACCACTTGTAGCATGTAACTCCCAAATATGTTTGACGTTAAACAATCGTATTCTTTTCAGAGGGGTTGAATAGTTTTGCAGATCAACGGATTTGGCCTTAAAAAAAACTAAGGCTTTTCAAAGTTTTGCAGATAAGTGAGAAGATCTTTAAATTCTGGAAATACCGAGAATTGCAGAGCGGCCCTGGCCCGGATTCTTCTGTTTCGGAGTTCTTACGCGAGATTGATTTAGGCACACCTAAGAAGCAAAATTGTACTCTCGAAAAGCTAACGTCGATCCGAATGTAAAAGAAACAAATGCCGGATCGGCGAATCAAGCCAAAAGATCGAAAGCTTTACAATGCGAACCCTTTGTCACCCAACTACTAAAATGAACGTACAAAATTGTTACATGCTACTCAAACAAAGGCATTCAGGCTTAATCTATATAGCTCCGTATACTATAGCTAGGTCGATTCTGCATAATTTCATTCGATAAACAAGTTCAAAGTTATCCCTTTTCGAGGAGATTATTGTGCAATGATTCAAATTCTGGCTCTCAGTAACAACCGCACTCCTCGACAATCGCATTGGTAAGGATGTGCCTCACAAAGCCAAGTGTTTCGTTGTAATAGAAGAGAGACATCGGTCGAAGCTTAGTTGGCACACAGCATGCATTGTTATCAACTTTGATACCCTTCTTGTCCTCCAAATACGCCTTGAGCAGCGAGTGAATGATGTATTTTCTCCACTGCTTGAGAGAGCACTTGCCCTTGCACTGATAGGCGTTGAATTTTTCAGGTTGGATGTACTTTGTGGGCAAGCCAAGCTCTGCTGTGTGGACTATCATATCTTCTTTTCGACAGCCATCAAAATCGCGGTCTTCGTTCTTTGATAAGGTGGCGTGTCTCGTTTTATCAGTGGATTCTTTGATAGGAAATTTAATGGTGGCATGAGGAAACACTGATAAAAGATAAAAGTAATCAACATTTACATTTCAGACTTTCTTTTCTATGATTAATAACACTGAATGTATCTTGCCAGGAAAGGTTTGAAATCATTTTGAGTAAGTTCAGCAGTTGGTCCATCCAGCATGGTCTTGAGCAATTTTCTCCCTTTTTCGTCTTACGATACCTTTCCCCCTTTGGAACCCATAGATATCCCACACAGAGATCACATACTTCATTAATTTTAAAATATAGTCAGTCAATGTAAAAAGACCTTACATTCCTCTCGAAGACTTTGGGGTGGAATAGTTTCCTCCTGGCTGTAGTTTTCCTTCGTGATCATGATACGATACAAGGAAAGGTTTGGCTTTTTAGTAGAAGAATTCGCAACGGTTTTGTTCATCTCTAGGAATGGTGATTCCTCGTTTTTCTCGATATTTCCTTTCCCGATTACCATTGGGGCTACCGACGTGATGTGTGAGGCAAACAAGGAGAATAGAAATAGTCTCATCGTGGTGTTGAAGGCGACCTGCTTTTGATAAACCGTTGCACTTCGATAAAGTAAAATTCCTTCTGTATAAGGTACACCCTATTCTTGACATACCAGCCAGCATTAGTCATTAAAATCCACCAGAAGAATAACAAAATATCGGTTTACCATGACTGGTGAGCCAAACTCTTATTTTTTCGTAAACCATTGTTCACCTGATTACCTCCAGGTGGTCGTGTCCATTTCTTTTGAAATGGACACTAATTAAAAGTTGCTAACGTTGTTGTCAAGCACTAAATGGAATTACTGACTGAAAGGGAACACTGTGTATTTTATTCAACTATTGTTGTCTATCCTTTTTTTCAATGATCGTCTTCTGGTGCATGATTGGGGTTAAAAAGAAAATAATTATTCTCTTCATTCCAAACCAGGTATCCCTTTATACCTTCTCTATCAGCAGTTCTTCTGTCTTCGTCTCTAGTTGGGAACGAGGTGGACTTAAAGCAAATCAACATGCTGTTATTTGTCAAGTTAAGAGAAAAGGGTACAACAACAATAAGTAATAGAAGCGAGCGTCCCTGTTATGCAGTAAGCTTTCGTGAGACTAAAACCTGACAAGTTCCACTGATAATTCCCAATAGAATATCCTGTTCCGTGGCTACTAAAATCGATGAATAAGTGTGACGGCTACATCAAGTATAGCACCTTTAAAACAAATATTTGCGTAAGACATTCTGAGCATATTGCATTAATGTTAAGGCCTTGTAAATAAAAACTGAAGTATTCCGAATGACAAAAAAATTGAGTTCAACATGCCCGTCTAAAATTTTGTTTATCAAATTCACTTTTGAAGTTTACTTCGAATGGAAGACAAGCAACGGCTATTTGTTCGGTTTTGCATCTCAATTTTACAATTTTGTCGCAAAAAAATTAAATATTTTTAACTCTTTATTTTCAATCTTGTTTTCTAAATTAAAAAGAAACTGGAAATAAGACGATCCCTTCACGAAAGGCCACTTTGCTTTATCGATGTCGAGTAGTTTTCCTCCCGAGCATATCTTTTATGTTCTTAAAGTGCTACTGCGACCAAAAATGCACCTTTTCTTTTCTCCTCAGAGGTTGAAAGTACTTACCCTAAGTAACAAATTTGCCAGATCTTAAGGTAAAACTCCATCGAGAAGTAATATTATTTTCCCTGTAGATTCGCGATCTAAACGGCCGCCATTCTTCGAACTACAAAACTCCACGCGAAGAAGAAGAAACTGGGTCGAGAACGGAAGTGACGTCAACGACTCAAGAAACGTGGCTAATTTGGTATGCCGAGAGAGAGTTGTTTTTCTGGTTCCACAAGAAAGAAGGAATAAAATTCGAAAGAATTGTTCCCCAGCTTTCTTTGGCGTATTTTTTGTAAAGGCATGCCTTTGCGACGTTGTTGAAGTGAGTCGATGACGTCACAACTAAAACCGCTGTAGTTACTTTCGCGGGCTCTCCAGTGTGTTATTGGAGCAATGGCGGAAGAAGTTTTAATGTCTTCACGGCGCTGTTTTTAAGGAATAACGTTGTCAAATTTGAGAAACTTACGCTTATTCTTATAGTTTAGGGTCTAAATGTGAGGTTAACACCAGAAAATTGGGAAAATAAAATGCAAAAATTTCGTCGCAGTAGCACTTTAACCCTTTTACTCCCAGGAGTGACTAGCCTCTAACTACTCTCTGTATACCATACATTATTCAGCCAACAAGTAATTAGAATACTCAAACTCATCAGGCAAATGCCATTCTCCTCATCTTGCGCCAAATTCTCGTAACAAATTTACAAGGGATTGTGCAACAGTTAGAGAGGAGAATTAACAATGTATCACGGGAGTCAAAGGGTCAAGAATCATGCAATATTTAGATCATGCTTACTGTGGGTAGTGTCGGTCGACGCTATCGGTCGGCACTATCAGCTGACACTCGGCTGATATGTCGGCCGAGTGTCGGCCGCTACTCGGCCGATAGTGTCGATGATCTATCGGTAAACTATCGGTGAACTATCGGCCGAGTATCGATCGAGTATCGGTTAGGTATCGGCAGGCTATCGTTAAAGTATCGATAAGGTATCGGCCGAGTGTCGACGAGACTAAATCGGTCAAAGTATCGGCCGATACTCGACTGGCACTCGATCGATATTCAGTCGACAGTCGATCGATATGTCGACCGCGTGTCGGCTAAGTAGCGGTCGACATGTCGACCGATCTATCCACCGATAGTCATACCGACACTACCTACAGTAAACATGATCCCAATATTTTTTTCTTTCGAGTGAAAGTTGTGCCTAAGGATTCAGATATTCTTCAGTACCTTATCGCGGATAACTGTCTGGATAAATGGCTTCAATCAGCAGACACTCAAGAAACATCTTTGGAATTTTCCTTCATCCAACAAATGCTTTTCGATCTCAGGTGGACATAACATGTCGATACCACTCGAGAGGCCCAAAGCCAAAGGAGCGAATATAACATCGAAATACTCACAGGAATGGAGTACCTCCTAAAAACTAGTACCGTACTGACCTTCTGAAAAGTTCTCAAGGGCACACGCTTAAACACACTGGCAGTCTTGGAACACCACAGGATTTATCGATCACACTCTCTTTTTTCTGTCATTCAGCGACTTCTTCCTTTAACTAATTAAGTTACTTGATCTTATTAGTCCTACATAACTCTTAACGCTTTAAGACAGGCCTTGCTTTGAAAACCTGAACTGCGCTAAAGCTGTGTATAACCGCACAGGTTATAGTTAAGCTGCACAGGCTACAGTCAAGTAGAGGCAAAAGATAAGAACAGACTACAGTTATGTACAGGCTACACTTAAGTAAAGGCAACATATAAGCACAGACTACAGTTTAGCACAGGCTACAGTCAAGCCTTATAGGTTATAGTTAAGCTGCACAGGTTACAGTTAAATAAAAGCAACAGATAAGCACAGGCAACAATTGAGCACAGCCTAAAGTTAAGCACAGGCTACAATGACTTTGCACAGACAACAGGAACTAGTGATTCCATAGATACTTCTGTTCGTCGAGGCAGATTAAAATAAGTGACTTAGTAGGTTTTAATCAAACTGTAAGTGAGATCGTTTATCTAGGTGTCTCAGTGGGCGGGCAGCTGACCAAAACGGCCTTGTTATTATCATTAGTTCCTAGTTACTTTTCACATTTCACCAGTTTTTCGAATATTTACAACTATTCCACAAGCCAAAGTATGAGGCTATCCCTACCAAAAGTAAAAAAAAAAAATTGGGAAAAGGACCTTTCTTTTAACTGGCGTAGAAATTTTTAATAAACTCCCTTTAAATATTGTGAGGAGTGAAAACATTTAAACGTTCTGCCGCCGAGGAAGACATTTCTTTTTATCTTAACTTGATATTTTATCTACTATTTTAGGTCTAATTGGGTTTTGGCTTTGTAGTCTTAGGCTGTTAATGTAGTTTTAAAATCCTACTCATATATATAAATAATTGAGAATTTTGATGTAATTTATTTTTAAGAAACAGGGCCCCTATGGATACCAGTTTTGAGCTGAATGGGCTACCCTTTGTAAATAAAGTTTTACTTACTTACTTACTTACTTACTCACTCACTTACTTACTTACTTACTTACCTGCTACACAAACACTACTAAAGAAAACCATGAACAATAGTAACAATAGGATACTCATTCAGTTCTAAAACTTGCTAAAAATCCTATAGCTCGTTTTCTACAAAATACTTTTACTAGGCGTGCCATTTTCGATGAACAACAGTTATCATTGCCAACCTATCATTAATTATTGCAATCGACACCAATATCTCATTGAGATGCGATCACACACCATGATTTCGAGATCAACCTTATCAGTGACATAAAGGCTTAAATAACTTTTCTATTTTCAGCTTGAGCAAAACGTTAAGACATTCTTAATGTGGAGTTATATTTTATGATAATGAACTGATGAGAATTGTGTGGTTTATTCGTTTCAATATAATCATGCATACGTTCGTTTGTTTGCTTTTCTTTTTTTTCTTTTTTTTTTTTACCGTTCCAAAGGCTGTGCTGTTTCTTAATGTGGAGTTATATTTTATGATAATGAACTGATGAGAATTGTGTGGTTTATTTGTTTCAATATAATCATGCATACATTCGTTTGTTTTCTTTTTTTTTTTTTTTTTTTTTTTTTTACCGTTCCAAAGGCTGTGCTGTTTCTTAATGTGGAGTTATATTTTATGATAATGAACTAATGAGAATTGTGTGGTTTACTCGTTTCAATATAATCATGCATACGTTCGTTTGTTTGCTTTTTTTTTTTACCGTTCCAAAGGCTGTACTGTTTCGTAACATCGGATACAAAGATGGCGAGAAGCAATCTCATTACCAACATAACTATCTTGTTATGTGTTCTGGAATTCGCGATTCAATTTCTTTAATGATTTTCGTTGGTCCTAGCAAATCAAGTTTTAAGACTTAAATCTGTATGATACTAATTATCTGTATTGAGTAACGCCGCTGGTTTTTATCTATGTTGATAGATCTCGGTGAAAATTGTTTGTATTAACATAAAAGCTTCAGGGGTAATATTGTTCAACTTTACAAAGCTCTTCAACGATTCTTTCAAAACAAATAATAAAACACGTGTTAAAAGATACACTACAATTTTGATTGATTATTCTTCAAAGAAAATACTCTTCATTCAGGTTATGTTGAAGTTTGAATTGACTTATTTAGATCTTAAATGACTGCGATTTTTTTTTCTTTTTTATCTTCCTTCTTTCGTGAAAAGATGAAATAAAAACCTTGATAAAGTAAGGAATATTCCCGAGGAAATGCTACATTGAAATTTATTCGAATTGTAGACTCGAGGATGGTAATTATCGTGCGGTTAGCATAAACAAGATTCTCGTGGCAGTCCACATGTTGTTTCACTTCTATGATCAATCAATGTGTTCGCTCATGCACTCAACAAGAGGCGTTCAAAAGCACAGCAGGGATACGCGTTGCGAGAAAGTTTCTTAATCAACACGCTGTTTGAGCAATGTTGTTGGGTCATCAACTTTTATTCAATTTTACTGACCCCTTTCTTTCAGTGGGAGCAAAAATTCATTAAGAAAGCAATTAACGCTAAAAAGTCCTTAGGGGTTAATTCTCTTGCAAGCATTATTCCCATAGTATTCATTCTATTCGCAATTAAAGGGCTGTTGTTCGGTTCCTTAAAGAACATAAAATGGGTCAGTCTCTTTAGAAATATTTAAAAAGAAAGTAGATACAGCATTTATAAGCAACTCCCGACTCTTGTTTGGTCAATTGAGCGCTTCAAAGAACACTATCACAACACCTCACCGGTGTAATCGTCAAACAGATTTTTCCAAAACTTTGTTATTTTGGCAAATTCATATGCAAATTTTTCTAACGCGTTGTTTACGAGTCAAAGATTGACTCATGCAATTCTTCATAAATATTTGAACAAGATTCTTATTATTCTTATGAAAGTCGCGAATAAAGTGTTTTTTCTTACGTTTGACAGCTCAAAGCAAATATTCTTCCGTAGAGATTCTTTAGCAAAAAGATACTTTTTCATAGGATTATAGTTGAATCTAAATTAGCTATTCATTTAGACACCACCAGTTGTTCACAATTTCAAAAGAAATTAATGAAAGCAAAGGGCGTCATGGTGGGCTGGTTTTCCGCTTATGGTCTCTGTGATTGCTTCGTTGTCTAGTTCGCGATGGCCTAAAGAGGACTAAACTACCCTTAAAATGTTATACCGTTTGAGTCACCTAGATCGTAAAAAGAAGAAATCAGAGCTGTGCTAATTTTAATTCTAAGTTTAGTGGCTTGACATTAGGTTTTAACTTTGGAATCTACTGGTAAATGAGTTATTTGATCGCGACCTTTTGACTAAGACCCTACCAGAACACTGTCTGTGGTTTTTTTTTCTCACTTCTACGGGTTCTAGATAAACAAAGAAGATGAAAATCGCAATTCCGGTCGGCAAATTCAATGGCATTTTTTTAATTAAAAGATCGTGGATTAACGTTATTGACAAAACTGGTGGCTTAGACACTGTGAACGTACTCAACTTAGTAGGAGGAGATTGATGATGTGCCCGAGGGACCAAAATCAAGCAGAAAAAAAAAAGCCCGCCACAATCATTAAAAGCCTTTTTAAATTTATGTACATCTTTCTCTGAGTAAATTGACAATTTTGAATGATGCTAAAAAAATAACGAACGAAGGTTGGGTTGTTAATACAGCTAGTGACGTTTTTAGGAAGTTGTTTCCCTAATTAAAGTTATGAGGTAGAGAGGACACTGATCCAAATAAAATAAAAGGATACTAAAAGAAAAGACGCTTCAAACAAAACAAATTTCTCACTTAGAATGCATAGTTTGTCAATTCCAGTAGCTTAGGAATTCAACAGCCTGAACTAAATACTGAAGAAAACACTTATTCTTTAACTTTATTCACTCACAAAAAGCTGTCACTTTGTTTTGACAACTCGGCTCAATGTGTCTCTTTAAGTCTCTCTGCGTGCGGCAGAGAAAAATAAGAATTGTTTCTATTTCCCCAAGTTTTCCGGACTCGTGTTGAGAAGGGAATGATTTTCAACTAGAATAGTTCAGTGGGTTGTAAATAACATGTGGCCAAGATTCAGTGAATGGGACACAAGGGTTTTCTTAATTCTGTTCTGCAGCCTTACTTAACTAAGGAATACTAAGCGACCCGTCCACAAGAAATTAAACTGTCGTTAGAAAACTCTTAAGTTTTCATATTCAGCTGTTTCCTGTTTTGTCCACCAAGACAGGTGTAACTTCCCACAATAGTTTGAAAAAAGGGTCGCACTCATGGCGAACGCAAACAGGCTTAAGATCGTTCATTCTCGTACCGCGTGTCTCACTTTACTGCCAAACAATGAAACGAACTTCTTTTCTATCCACCGTAACTAACTTTCCACAGATATTGTCGTCTAACTGAGGCATTGATTTTTATTGCAATCTGTATTCTAGTGCTTAGCCACATCATTCATGCGCTTGAGGGCAAATGCAAATTCTCCCAGAAAAGAAAATAAGCCGAAACACGATGGCAGGTTGCTCTGTGACCTTCACTGTCTGCTTGCTTCACGTTCATTAACAAGGGACCTCTACATAAACCACAACTCGTTATTTTATTAGTTTGATAATGTTTAGAAGATGTTTATTGCCAGACTACACTGGCTGAATGTGGGTTTTAGAAATATTTCCATCACAGATGCTCATTAGTGTTCACTCGAGCATTTATAATACACTTTCCAGTGTGCCACCGATGTAATTTTCGCTGCTAATGGCTAGTTCAGTCTCACGTTTTATCACTAATGTTTTCTTTTACGACGTATTTAATGTCAAGAAGCAAAAAAGCTTTGTACAGAGTCTCACCGGACAAAAAAGATAAAGAATAAACTTGAGAATAACGCTTTGTTTTGCTCGCTTTCTTGCATAGGCGCCATTTTAGTCAAACAAATAAGTGTTTATACGCACCACAAGAAGTTACATTATCAAAGTTTAGCTCACAAAGAAAAAAAAAGAGTGTTGAGTTAGAGGCTGAGCGATTCCTTTGAATTTACTTTTGAAAACTTTTACATTGTGTTGTTGAAAAGGCATAACCCTTTTATTGTATGGTTTTTATACCTTCTTGTACTGGCAGCGAGTAATTTCGCCATTAAATTTGACTTGAATAGCCTCAAAACAAAAGGGTAGACATATCAAAGTTGGAATTCAATGCGCCTTAGACATTGAAGCTTGCTATCCTTTATCGTGGTTTTCGTCAAAAACGCTGAATTACTGGACAGTGGTTTCGAGGTAGTCGAGCTTTTCCTTAAATTATCAATAATTAACCACAAAGTTTAGGGCTCGTTTTTTAAAGAAACCGAGACGTTTTTGTCAGAGTATCAGCGTTGCCTGTAGATACCAAGTCTACAAAGTTCTTGCCCTTGAAGTAAACGCTCCTTTTCTCTTATTTAATGAAACATAATCACTGTAGTGTCATTGGTTATTTTGCATGATAGTATTTGACCTTGTACAGGTAACTAACTAAGAATCGTTCGCAAGCAATTCACGCACAAAGCATGACAGAATATTCATACTTTATTAGTACGATAACACTCAAACGTGTTTAGTGTCAGCATGCATTAGCTCACACGAGGAATTAAATTTTCACTTGTGCATGATTATTCGCGAGGCAAAGAGTGCAAGATAAGACAAGAAGAACGAAAAAATTTTTTAACTTCAGAGCACGGCTAAATTTAGCTGCCATCTTAGATTTAGGTGTGAGAACCTCGAATAAATAACTCAAACAAAGAAACATTACTTTGATTATCGCGGTTGGTGCTTCTACAAGACTGTAAACTGTAAATCAGTTAGATAAGAAAATAAATGGTCCAAATAATTTTCCGCAAAAATTCAATAGACTGAACTCCGGTTTTATTTTTCATGCTATCTTGTCCCAAGTGTCTCCTTGCGGTCTCCTGAGAATCAACCATGAAGTTCGCATTCGCCATGTACTGATCACAGATCCATCGATATAATCCTATAAATTTCTGCTGCATGTTTACAATCGTTCCTTACAAAAAAGTAAATATAAACTTAGCTAGTAATTGAATGTCAAGTGTTGGAAAATTCTATTTGACACATGAATTAGAAGATAAGCCGTCTTTTTGTATCGTTAGATACACAAAGTAATAATAGGACGCGTTAATCAAACCTATACATGTCGTTGAGTGTACAGTTGCGGGTATGGTGGGCTGGTCTCTGTTACTTGCTGAGAATGAATGTTTTGTGCTGCCGAGGAAAATGCCGAAACGGCACTTGTTGTAGGTCCCGGTTCCATCGTGCTGGTGTAGAGATGACTGGCCGCGTGTCCATGCGGGCCGGTTGGAGAAACCATCATTTCAGTGGGACGGACTGGATAAGGTAAATCATGCACGCTGTTAGCATGACTCGCAGCCGGTGGGAAGGCGTGAGTTTGTCTTTGAGCGTGTACTGCAGCCATGTCATACATTGGGTAAGTAGCGTGTTGAGCCGCCATCTGATAATGATACTGTGGATACATGCTATCGGGTGCCATCGTTGGTGGATACGCCGTTAATTTCATGGCGGCGGGATGGACTGCAGGCTCTGTTCCCGGGTAGGGAAATGGATACGTCGATTTCTTCATTATCTGCTTCTGTTTCCTTCGTCTTGGTTTGTATTTATAATCAGGGTGTTCTTGACTGTGTTTCTCCTGTAGTCGTTTGGCCTCCTCTTGGTAAATTCGCTTGTCTTGGTCCTTCATCAGTTTCCATTGCGCTCCCAAAACTTTGCTGATCTCCGAGTTGTGCATCTTCGGGTTCTCTTTGGCCATAGCTTTTCGTTTCTCTTTTGACCAAACCATAAAGGCATTCATGGGTCTCTTTATGTGATTTGGATCTGTCTTGCTCATTATTATCTTGTCTCTACGTCAAAATTTGTAAGTGTCCTATCCCTCTTGAGTATCCAGTGAGTAGCAAGCCGTGTCAACTGCTCTGTCTTTCAGTTCAAGGCCATAGTTTCGTGGGCAATATTCGACAAAGCTATTTACATTTCTGGCGTTGCATGCGAACAATGGGGTTTTTAGAAATCTTTAATTACCATAATCATTCCAAACATCAAAAGGACATAACACAATAGAGCAAGTATTCAACATATTTACTTGAATAATTAATTATTTCAGAGTAACTTTACCATTGCTCTTTCCAATCACTGTTATTATTTTCAACGTCCATCTTCAATACTAAAGCTTTTGTGGCTTGTGCAATGACAAGCGACAAGCGAAAATCTGATTTCGAGAGAAAAATGTCGCGGCTTGTTAAACCTCATTTTCATTAGAACACAGCTGGGCATCCGTGAGATTAATCATTTCAAAGTTAATAACATGTTTGCTTTAATATTTATGTCCAATTTAAGCGAATATTGCCATAAGTATATTTCGAAACTGGTACAGAAACAATGGTGATTTTCACTGCATTGTTGCTCTTTGGTGAGATTAAAGAGAATTTAATTAATCTATACATTCTACGACGTTGAGGTAAAAAATGAGGTTAAAAGGACTCAACAGCGGGCAATTAAAACGAAGGTCTCGCTAGTAATTCATATTCATGATAAACACAGCGTTCTTGAAAAGTTTTCTGACAGGTTTATTGTTATGCAGATGAACCAATTTACAACAAGCCTAAAGGCCTTTTGAAGTTGCGTACACAGATCCGTTATAGATAAGAGAGATCAACCGTGAATGTTTGATGACTACTCAGTTGCTGGCAAATATTGAATTTAACCACTTGAGAGGTGTAATCCACTAGTTATTTACTTCATACTTAGACACAGCCATACAAATTTAAATATCAATTTAACAAGTCTGCCACACAATGGACTGACAATATAATCATTCATATTCCACTTGACCTAACTTTTGTTTAACTTCTATAAAGATGTTTCGTCAAGATTTTCAGAAATCAGCCATAAAAATAAAAAAGTTTCGAAATATGCCAGAGACGGCATCCACAAAGTCTTCGTTTCGAAGGTAAAATAGCGACCGCTTAAACTCTCTTTACAGAATTTTACATGATAGAAGATCGAGAACAATAGGATGATTGGCTTTGTGTCTTTATATATTTTGGTGGTGTTTGGACATGATGTAAGTTGGATAATTAGAAGAAATGAGGAATGAAAACTCACTCAAGTCTTGAAAGTTGCTAATTGCCAGGCTTTCAAAAGCTCATCACTTTACGGCGTTAATTAACAAGGAAAACTTGCGAAACATTTCCACGGAAACCACCCAAACAGCATCAGGAAACGCGAGCAAATATTGTTCTTTTGTCCAAATTTAATTGAAAGAAATACACACTCTTCTACTCAGTATGAGAATAACTGAAAAAAAGACAATATGAAAACAATATTGTAAAGATAGGAAAACTAGATTAAACTGGCATGCGCTTTTCCATAATTTGGACTTGGTAATTAACGGGACATTCAAGTTCTAGAAGGCCCCAATGGACGCTGGTCTCTGTATTCTACTCTAAAATTCCCCACCGAAAGTTAGTTGACAGACAGGCAATATTTTGGTCCTTTTTTGATCGTTCTTTACTCATTTTATCAATTGTATAGATACAAGTGTATAGATACAGATACAAACTGTGCAGAGCCTGTCGCTTTTCCGAAAATAGTTCTGATATTCTCTCTAACTCTTTGTCGTACTAAGCCCTCATTTCCTTTTCTCTCCGATATCCACATGTTTGTTTGTTTATGTGGTTTTATTTTCGATCTGCAAGGCATTCTCTTGCTCTATTCTGAGGTCTACGCAGACATGTGGGAGACGCCAAATCATTTTCCCGTCCGGTTCGGATCAGTCTATAGTCATTATTTGAGGGTCCCCTATACCCCTTCGTAAAACTCAGTCACGTAAAAGACACTTGGTCTTTCCACGCATCATGAAATAATATCCTAATTTCTTTCACGTTCACGCGAAATTTGAGACGATCACGTTTCACATAAAAGTAATAAAAAAAAAAAATTTAAGAATTAAATTTTTACTTCTAATCTTGACTTGTCTTAAGTGACAAAAGATGACGTAATGTCTTAGGACCATTAGTGGTCTGTTTATGACATTGATCCATATGAGGTCCATTTCCTGTAAAAACCCTGGTCAATACCTAACCACAGCCGTTCGAGAGCAATACGTATATTTTTAAAACTACTAAAAAGCCGGAAATTCATCACGCAAAACAAAATTGGTTCACGAATCACATTTAATTCAACTCTTCATTCACGAGTCACGTTTTTTTTTTCAAAAAGAGCACTTCACATGCACATTAAAAGATCTTATCTTCTTTAATCACGATTCACGAATAAAGAAAAAATCAACTCACGAATCACAAGAAAAACAAAATTTCCTATCACACTTTATGTAATAAGTATAGGGGGACCCCCTTACCTTTCCCTCTTTTCTTTATTTTGCTTGCATCTCGCGGAGCCGCAAAACGTTCTCCGGCAATAGCGCCACCGCGTACGGCCCTCTTACGGGAATATCTCTCTAATGCTTTCAATAAAAGCGTGTGCGGGTCGCATGCGTCATGATTAATATATTATTCCCATAATCAACATAAAATCACTACAAAAATAGATCAGGAAAACAAACTTGGAAATGATTGGCCATTTAAAAGGTTTCTTTATCTCTAGCACGTTCGTTAATTAAACAGGAAAAACTATAAGAAACGAAAGAAATTCATATTCGCATACAGTTGGTTTTGAAAAATACGCGTAACTTTTTTTTTCTAAAATACCACATCTTGTATGACCTAATGAAAGTGAATGTTAGGACACGTTGGCTAACGCTAAGAATTTATTTTGAATGTGGTTAGGTGAGCTTCTCTTCTTTTTCTTTTTCTTTTTGCATTTTAACATATGGCCAACACTACAATAGTGACCTGGTGTAGTGAGTTACGTACTGAGACGTTACACAATCATTCAGGTAGTCAGTCAATTAATCATTCCGTTAGCACGTTAAACAGTCAGACAGTCAGCTAGCTACCCAATAAACCAGTCCACAAGTCAGTCAGTCAGTCAGTCACAAAATCACGTGGTCAGTCAATGGGTCAGTCATGCAGTCAGTCACTCAGCGGTCAGTTAGTTAGTCAGACCGTTAGCCTAACAGTCTGTTAGTCAGTTAGTCATCCGTTGGTCAGTTAGTCATGTAGTCAGTCAGCCTGCCAGCCTGTCGACCAACAATTCCACTCATTCATTCTAAAGCCGATTTCACAACGCTACATTTCATTTGGAAATCAGACGACTTACTAATCCTTGTAACGAGTTATAAAATACCTAATGCATTTACGACATTTATGTTTCCATTTATCGCTAAAATCATACTAGGTGTCCTTTTTTCTTAAAAATAACCTTCTTAAGAGGACGAAGATCGAACTGTGCCACCATATTGAAAATTTTTCCAGCTAAAGTTTTCCTAAAGTTGTTTATATTATTGCTTATGGTATTTTTTCTAGAATGCACAGAATCGTGGTAAGCACAGCTTTAAAGACATCATATACTGGAAGATCGTACGTGAAGCTAGAATTACGAAACTGCTTGTAGTCTTACTTAGCATCGCAACGACCTAATTAAAAAAAGCACTAATTTGACTAAACAAGTTTGCAAATAATATAGAAACGTAAACTTGCCATCTTCGTGAAAGGTACGGTATAAAATAGAGTGAGCGGTATTCTGCGGAATAAAACCTATTTAAGAAAATACTTCAGCGTAGCCTGCCTTCTGAATAGTATTCTGCTGGCACGTGCTAAAGTCGCTGGATACACAATAACGGCTGGGCCACTCCTAAGACTGTACCACACAGCTGTCCGAGCTGTCTATGCCATTCTACACGGCGGAGGGTACAGTGCTATTATCAACCACAAATTTGTACAACACCGAGTCGTTAGCCGAGCTGATTTCAAACCCGGTGACTAATATCACTAAATAAACGTAGCAATCAGCCCTGCCTAAGGAAGTGAAATGGTTCAAATGTTTCCATTGGTCAATGAAACCACTACTCACAACTCTCAGCTGTCTACCTGCCTGAAAACCGACCTAACTGATGCACTAGAAGCAAGGTTCTTCAACGTGAGTGCCATCCACACGTCTCACACAGTCGAATTAAATAATGACTGGTGTGTAAATCCGACTGACACTGATGAGGCACAATGAAAAACGATCGTCCATTGTTTGTCTCGATCATACACTGCCCTCTGCGATCTGACCACAACAAATCCGTCCAATACCGAATATCTTCCTCCCACCTCATTCATCGTCTGTCTCCCCGTCTACTTCCTGATATTGCGCCTTGTGGGTTGCCTTGTATAAGACCAATTAATCTCAGAGTGCGAATGGATACCCACGAACTATCAGAGAGGGATTGGGCTGCTAAAATGCCGGAGGAAAACTGAAAATATTGGTAATAAAACTGCTGCTGAACGTTTCTTCGAGCACGTAAACCAGTCCTGATCAAATAATTTAATTCGCCGTGGACTTTTTTCGTGTACCCTGCGTACTGGTACGTGTCACAGCGTTTTGCAGTTTACTGCCACTCAGTGCCTCCCCAAAATAACTGATTAATTAGGCTGGGTTCCAACCTGGGCCTTAACAGCAAAGTTATTCAACCCATTACTGTCCATTATTGCCACTGTCAGGTCCAGGATTAAAATCAGACCTGTATCATCTTTGAGGTTGTCGATGCAAGTCCTCGCTTTCGAAGACCGTGCTGTAGATCCTGAATGGTTCCAACTCAGGATGTCTGAAACAATGGCCTGATAGTCAGAGCTGTCGTTCTTCGACTCAAGTTGTCGCTAACCTAGGAGTAATACAGAGTGGCAGCGAGGTTCTTGGACGGCGCATTTTACTTGTTATGGACCAACGTATTTTTAAGAAAAATATTTCAATAGTCCTTATCGTTTTATGCTCCTTGTACAAACTTTCAATAAATACAGAAAAACGTCTTTACTATGTGGCAAGGTAGTCTTGAGATAAATTGGAGCGTTCTGATT